TAGACACCCGTGTGACGTATTTGGATAAAGGAAAAATGGCTCCATCGCAAACTACTTTGCAATTACGATTGCGAGAGGAAAATCACGACAATGTCTCTCAGTGCAAACTCTTGGCAGACAATGCTACGACACGAAACGTTGTCGATCTCTTGTTAGTAATCATAATTTTCGTGCTACTCGGCGTTGCCGCGCCTATCATTCGTGGAGATGTTTGCGGTAAGTTTTCGTCTATGAACAGTTGGTCACAAGTTAGGAAAAATCATTGCAGGTAAGCTACACTTAAAGCAGAAAATAAACGTGAAAAAGTCAAGTTTTTCCAGCACAGTCGAAGCCTGAATCGTTTCGGCTTCTTATCTACAATTGCTTTAATTCTAGCTTACTAGGGAAGATTGTTTCTATACTCAGTTATTAATCATCAGCGGGTCAAAGTACTATTTATTCCATGTAACAGAAGGGTACTCAAAAAGTTTAATTGTTAAGACAACTTTCCGTCATATGTGCAGATTCAGTTTTCGATTGCAGACATCATTTACCACATTAAGTCTATGCTGATGATAATAAATCATCTTTGTAAAAACCAGGTGCGTGGATCGGGCCTGAGTCAATTTTATAGAAGACAGATGATATCTTTATTTGTTTTTACCTTATTGTACTGTAACGAACGTCAAAATCACTTTTGTTTATATGCTTTCGCTATATTTTATGTCGTTCGTCTTTTTTCGCTGGTGAATATACCTACCATTGCCCGTTGCTCGCCAGCTGTGTTTTCGCAACCAGCTCGTTCTTGTGACTGTATTTCTGTTATGAAGTATTTGGTTAGTTAAGTATAACCTATTCATATGCTTACATTAAGCATTTCGATACTTTTTTTAAATTCAAAGTCCAAAGTTTCTTTTAGATTTAAACTACGCGATGAGATTCCAAATTGTGGTTCTTGCTATGGTTTTAATTCAATTCAATTTATTGATACTAGTTAGTATATTTACTGCTCGCAGATAGCAACAGCAAGTCGAAGCGAGCAGTCGTTTCACGCAGATTACTCCAGTAACAAATTACAGAAAAGAAATAAATACAGACTTGATCGTGACAATAACAAGAGTACTAAGATGAGAAATTACCATAATGAAATGGAAAGAATAGTTTCTACAAAAGAAAGCTATAAACAAATAAGTTACGAAGTTAAATAGCTATAATAGTATAATAGATAAATAGAACGCCATATCTAGAAAAAGATTTATTTTTCGAGTTCAATCTTGAGTATTCAACAAAAAAGTACCTCCTGAGGACGATCGTGTTTTATAGAAATGGATATTGGCTTGATATAAGTAAATATGTTAGTTATGTGAGGTGGCGTTGGGTTATTGAATACATCATGCATTAACACAGCTGGTGATTTGAACTATATAAAGAAAATCCAAGGGGTAGATTAGAAGAAATAAAGAAAGGTATACCATGAGCATTAAATTCACCAAAGAACAAGTCGCAAGATACATTTTTTTAAGAAGTAAAAGTCTATTTCTATATGGATCTTGTCAGCTTGACTCCACGCAACTAAACCGTACAACAGATATACGGCTGGATGAGTGATTTGTATATGTGACATAAGGTATTCAAGGGAACAAAATGTCTTAATCTAGAAATAATATCGATTGAGATACTTATTTTGGAGGCTATATGAGGAATATGGTAAATCCAGGAGAGATTCTCGTCAATAAGCACGCCTAGATATTTGACATAGTTCTTACACTGTAGAAGAATAAAAGTACCGACATGATGGTTAAATACTCTAAAATTTACTTGATATTTTGTCTAGGTCGAAAAATAACATAGTGGCTGAGTTTCGTAATGTTAAAAAACAATTTGTTGGCTATCAGCCAGTTGTAAACATTTGAAAGCTCATCTTAACAATGGATTCAAGCGTCTTCACATTTTGATGTGCAAATAAAAGATTAGTGTCGTCAGAAAATAAATGAAATTGTAATCGGTCGCAGCTATTTGTGATATCATTTGTGTAAAGGAGAAAGAGCAGGGGACCTAGAACCCAAGACAAGACTGTTTCTTTATTGGATAAATTTTAGTAGATAAGTTTGAGTTATTTGTCTACGTCCCTCTAGATATGTAGTGAACCAGTCGTTAACGATTCCTTGATTCCGTAGTAATTGAATTTCTTCAATAATATTAAATAATCTACCGATTCAAAAGCCTTTTGTGGGTCGAAAAATATACTTCATGTGTATAACTTTCTGTCCGAGTTAGATTCTTTTTGATGAGCAGCTATATCCAAAATGGCAGGTTCAATCTTTTTTTCACGAAAACCGTATAGTGAATCATGAAGGATACCATTTTTCTCAAGAAATGATTTTAGACGACAGTACATCGTTTTTTCGAAAATACGATTAAAAACCGATAAAAGCGATATGGGGATCAAATTCATCATAACTCTTATAGACTGGAATTATTTTAGCAAGTTATAATTTATAGGGGTATGTACCGTGCTCGATTGATTTATTTATAAGCCGAGACAGAGGACGGCTAAGTATATGTTTTGCTGATCTCAAAATGCGGATGGGAAAGGAATTATAATCCATGTGCTTTACTAAGTTGAATATTCATGATGTCAGTTTCTATTTCAATATAAGACACTGGAATAAAATTGAAGGAACCAGCCACATCTATCTTTGGTAGATATTCGTGAAATTTTTTAGGGGATTTGGCATTTTGGATGCCAGATTGTGCGCAATTGAAGAGAAATATTTATTCACTAAGTCTGGAAATTCAGAGGAGTTGGAAGAAACTTTGTTCCTTGTCGGACATTTGAGAGAGTTCATTTCCTTAAGGACCTTTCGTTTCTGGTCTGAGAGCCGTTCATGCCCTCCCATGTTTTCTTTGTGTTAGAAATAATTCCCATTGGCGTTAATATTTTGTTTCGATAGAGTTTGTAGGCAGTGGTGTCCCCAGAGTAGAAAAGAGCGTCCTTTGATCAATCTTCTAATACCTTTTGTTATCCAGGGTTTTTGAGCTCCTCTTAGACTGCGCTTTGAAAGTAGTTTTAAAGGTGCGTGCCTATTGAGGAGTGTATTGATTTTATTATGGAATGCAGAAAATGATTTGCGTTTTATTGCCGACGGCACTGATCAAGTCAATTTATGACAGCTCGTTTGGAAAGGTGGGCTCTGAATAATTAGAGAAGTCACGAACTAATTGTTTAGGTCTCTACACATCAAATAGCTTACTAGAAGAGCCAAGAAAGCAAAATTGCGAAAAGTGATCGCTTAAATCCGAGATAATGTTGCTGCTTACTTGAACAATTCTTTCACGGTTGCTAATAAATATATTATCGATAGGTGAGTAGGAAATGTTGTGTTGTCTCTTGGGTTTGTCAATGGACGGGGTCATGTCAAAGCTTTGTGCTGAAATATCGTTCCACCAATTGGATAGTTTGTTTTGTCACGTCCTCCTTGCCGTCGCTGTCACGTTTAGTGAAGGTCTTTGTTGAACACACTTAGTGGACCCGGGAAACGACCCCATTACCTCTCGCATCATTTTTAAATTGTAACCTGTTTGCTGCTTTTAGATCAACAAAATAGCTAATTGGCGGAAAAATGTCATCGAAAGTCCCGATTGTAAACTAGAGCTAATATTTAATGTACATAATTGCCGCTAAAAGGTGAAAGAAGCTGGAACTGGAGCTAGTAACCAGCTTCACTCAGCTAGATTAATTTGTCGACCCTTAACTGAAGAGCATTGATGTGACGCATGGTACGTTCCTAACAGAAAATGAGTCGGCAAGAAATATCAAAGATTATCGTTTCGTGTTCACTATTATGGAGAGACTCGTTGGGTTAAGCTTCATGCTGATTGTATGATGTGGTGTCCCTAATTATACTGAGTTTACGAGCATTTATCAGTGCAAATATTCTACCACCGGTCCAGGTTTTCACCACGCTAGGCACTTAAATCAACCAGTCACCTGGTTGAAGAAAAAACATGATGCATTGGAGTCAACTGTTGACTAGACAGTAAACTTTGAAACCGAGTAAGCGATCCGAGACGAACAGCTCGCTAGATTTGTAAGAAAGTGTTTTTCACCCCGCGTTTACGTTCTCTAATGTAAACTGAGACCTTTCCTCGGCAATCTTCGTTTGTATTCGGAAATAAAAGAAAACAAGACAAACATTTGAAATAAGATATGACGCTGGGGTCAGACTTAACCAAATATAGCAGCCAAACACTTTGTCTTGAAACAGACATCAGCCTAATTTAATTTTCCATTTTTTTTTTATGCAGTCTTCCCGGTAAACTCGGCATGAAAATTAACCATTTTTATTGCTCCTTACTATCAGCCAAACAGCAGAAATTCTTCGAGAAAGTTAGTAAAAAATAAAGAAAAAAAAATTTAGCCACATATCACTTCTTAATTCGCTTACAGTTTCGAAAGTTTGGTCGTTTTCTAAAAAATATGACCAGACTTTCAAAACTGTAATAAGAGAATTAATAAGTGACATTCCTTTACTAATTTGTGGGTTTCGTTTCTTCGTATTGTTTTGTTTCGTATATTTCTGTTTTTGAGATTTCAAATTTACTCCGTATGAAAATGAAATTTTTACCAAGACTGTCTTTGAAAGGAGACACAAGAAAATAATCAACGTGGTCCATTTCATTGATTTCCGGCGTGTTTGTTAGTTTTTATTCCCATAATTATCAGCGTCACGACATTAACTGGACGATTTCCTCATTGTGGACTCAACAGAATAAAAAGGAAAAATTTGCGATTCAGGATTACGTCAACTAAAAATGGCTCCTTCGAAAACGGCTTGCCATGTGTTTGATGAGAAAGATCGAAATGATATATTGGACCTCCAAAGTCTGGCAGGGAGTTCCACGACTAGAAATGTTGTAGATTTACTTCTAGTGGTCATAATTCTTGTGTTGCTTAATGTTGCTGCGCCAATAATCCGTGGAGATTATTGTAGTAGGTTTAACATTTGATATTGTTGCATGTGATGTTTTGCCATCCTAAATTGGGGACCATACACTGACCAGGACAGCGACGGCATCGAAAAAGTAGTAAAATAGGAGAGTCTCAGTTAATCAGAAAAATAGCCCTGAACGAGTGCTTTAATATTTTTTACTTTTCTGGGTGTCCTATACTAAGGCGACGTCTAAGTAGAGGAACTTCAATAGCAAATTATTTCCGTTTTCACGTAGAACTCGACGACACCTTTACATGTTATGATGAAGAAGAAGTTTAACGCCATTTGGGAAGGAAAAAATATCGAACTTCTTGCCTGATTCTTGAAACAAATGTATATTTATTTTATAATCAATGTTTTTCTCAGCGAAGTTGTCATACCTGCGAAAGGTCCCCCTCAAAAATTTGAGTCAGTATCATAAAATTAATCTCGCATTTACTTAGAAATAATATAGTCTTTCTTCGGCGGCAAGAGATTAAAAACCGAGCAGTTTACGATCTCTTATCGGCTGTGTTTGCGTGTGTGAGTGTGTGTGTGCTTTTTTTCTTTTGGCTAAACACCGAGGAAAAAATGATTGCAGAATTTCCGTTATGGAAATGTCTGATGATCGCCTGCAAGGACTTTTTTTTTAAGGAATACCTTCCTGTCATGATAGAAACCCAACAACGAGATCAAAATAGCAGCCAAGACTAATGCCGGCTACGGATGAAGAATTAATAAAGATATCTTCGATTTTAGAGGTTTTAGAAAAACCTCACTTTTTCTTCAAGACTCGTTAATCAGGCCCTAAATACTGGTTTTCGTCGAAATCATTTTTCAGTTTCCGCGCTCTCTCTCAGGTACAAGGCTAGCATCTTTCTAATTCGATATCAGCAATTAAGATCGAGACAAAGATATTGCCATCTATAATCTCAGGCATCTTTAAACGCGTGTTCAAAAGTCAAACTAGTGCATGTTACCAAATAGTGTTTCTTTGGCAAGTTACTCCTTAAAATTAAATTTAGCTGGTGTACTCAGCTGTTTATTTATCTTTCATTTGACTTTTCCATTTGCTAGCTCTTGAAATCTCGCGACGCTAAATTTCAACCACGTTTTGAAGGGTGAAATAAACAACCTATGTTTTATTTCCGGCAGTAGATATTCAATCGCTTAGTGTTAACAAAAGATTACGAAGGCCGATCAGAAGATAGTCAGGAAGCGGAGGTTATAAGTTTGTCCTCCAATACCTTTGTTGCTCTGCTTGTTATGCGCCGATCAATTCGAGGCTTCAACATCCTCTCGCGAAACTCACGAGCATTTGACTGTCGTTTATGCCCAGAGGTGAGGAAATTGAGTCTTACCAGCGGAATAAACGTGTGTGCGTTGCAGCTCTGTAACTAATTAACAGCGACCGCTATAGGAGTCCGACATTTGAGTTGTACCCGTCCACGGAGGAGAAGCCAGTCCCTCTCGAATTTCCTTTCATCTGTGTTTCGTTTGTTTGTTTTTATTTTCTCTTCACCACTTAAGGGACCGTCGTTGGGTTGGTACTGGACACGCCAGAGTGACGATATGATTTGATATTAAGCTTTTTAATCGTTCCTTTATTCTAATTGGCCAATGAGCTTAGTTTTCTTTTGGCTTACGACACTTAATCCAAAAAAGAGTTCAGACACATAAGCTGTCATGTTGCTTCGCCTCGCTATGGAGTATTACTAACCGAATTATTCACTTTACTCAAAGAGAGAGGTGATGATATCAGGGTCAGTAACGACGGAAATACTCTCAAGTGCTCCGTAAACTCATCTCGACTGACGTTGACCGGAAATAATCACAGTGGCAACTGCCACTGTCATGTTGGTTTTAAGGGGGATGGCCATGTTTGTTCAGGTGAGAACGTTGTTTGCATGGGGAACTTTTATTTGATAGTTGAAGGAATTGGGGATTCTCTTCGTGTATAAGTTTGCAGATCATGGAGTTAGTCTTTGTTATACCCTATTCACTCCAAAGCTTAAATATGTTTTAAAGCTGGTATAAACACGATTAAAATTTCTTTTTTATAGAAGCTGCTTAAAGTGATGTTTAGGTATCAAAATGTTAATTGAAAGCAACGTTCTATGTACTAGTGTTTACTACAAACCTACAGATTCACATAGTTACTTGTTGTATTGATCTTCACATCCATCACACGTCAAGAATTCCATACGTTTTTCATAGCTTTTCACACTTCGTCGTTTATGTAGTGACGACTCTGACTTTTCCGAAAAATCAAAGGCAATGTGCCAGTTTTTCTATAAACGTGGTTAACCTGCTTCTGCCGTTTAAGTGGGCCACCACCGCGCCCAACAAATTAATCGACAGTCAGCACTACAAATGGCTGAGAAGGAAAATACTGATCGCATTATATTCCATTCACTCTCACATTTCAACCTCCCAACCACGCAGTTAAATCTATCATTTGGTCAGAAGTTCATTTCAAACCAATGATCAACTTGGAACTTTCAAATGCGCTCGCTCACGACGCAAAACTTATCCTTTCATTCATAACAAAGAGAAAATGTCGGGATCAAAGCGATTCATTAAGATGACTGATCACTTTACGTGCACCTCCGCCAATGTTATCTACAGCATAACTTGCACTCATTGCAAAAGGTTATACATTGGTGAAACAGGAAGACGACTAGATGACCGATTCCGATAACACCTTCGCGACGTAGAAAGAAATGACAAGGACGCATCCAAACCAAATACTTTAATCTTCCCAAACATTCCAAGCAGTATACGGCAGTTTGCTGCCTTTCCCTACATCTAGGTAGTTTGGAAGGCCGCAAAACTCTCGAACAAAAATCAATCTTTCAAATCGGCACTCTTAATCCCCACGGTATCAACGAACACTTTTCATTCAACTGTTCTATTCTTGTTTTCTCGTCACCAATAGCGTAGCTACATAATCTGCATATAAACCCACACACAACCCATAATTACTCTAATCTCTCCGTCGAGGGGCTAACGCTCGAAACGTCAGCTTTTAAAATCTTTACGCTGGCCAATTTGCGTTATCAACTCAGTTGATAATAGTAAATTACCCTGTTATACTCTCCCACGGACGCAGCAACACAGTTTCTTTAGAGACTTACCCCCTTTACTCATTAAACTAATGTTTGTCAATTTCGTATCTAGCGCATTGAAAATAAGAGGTAGTAACTACTTGAAACCTTTGGAAAAATTAGTTTTTCAGTTCTGTTTCTCATTTTCATTCAGTTAAACTGACAGTATCTTGAATCTGTTTGAAGCTAATGAAGAGATAATCTTTTTTAAAATTTCATTTGACATTCTATAATGAGAAAAAGAGAAAACAGACAGAATGAATCCAAATGTCACGCTTAAAAACTATCACTATGTTTGTATAAGTAAAAACGAATGTATGAGAGTGATTCTAACATCATCAAACCTCTCTTTCCTGGGCAGATATCGATGAATGTGCATTTGGAAATCATTCATGCCCGCCGAATGCTCGCTGCAGAAACACCTTTGGATCATATAGTTGCGAATGTTCCTATGGTTACCGGGAAAACCGGTATTGCCTCGACATGGACGAGTGCAAACTCGGATTACACGGGTGTGATAAACATGCTCACTGCACCAACACCGCGGGCTCATATAAATGCACTTGTCGAGCTGGTTTTTATGGAGACGGACGATCTTGCAGAAATATATAAGTACAGCTGATGCTTACTCATCAGTGATAAATATCATTTCTTTTTATATTTTTTTTGTATTTAATCTTAACATAAAAAGAGAAAATTGAAGTTTTACTTTTTTCGTTGCTCGCCAAATTGGAGTAAGTGAAGTGTTGAGTCTTTTAGTTTTATTATTTTTTATTTATCATTTCAAATTTCATTTCAAATATTTATTAACCTTTTGAGTTAGCAAAATAAATTGTTGTGATCAAGTCCCACCGAGATTTGAACTCGGATCGCTGGATTCAGAGTCCAGAGTGCTAACCATTACACCATGGAACCACTAATACTCTCCTACAAAATCTAAAAGAGCCATGTTAAAATTCTCACTCGAGTTAAATTGATATTGGGACTGTATCAACTTCGTCCAACGTCGTGTATAGATGAAACTGCCAGGGCAGGCAAAAGTTTGGACTAACAATACAATGATTGGTCCAAAATTTTGCTTAAACGGTTACTTACCTGCAGTTCCGGCTCTATTTCTCCGTTTTCTTCCCTATATTTCCACTGAGAGAAAAACATGATTCCCTTTGAGCTAGGTCCCACTGAGATTTGAACCCGGATCGCTGGATTCAGAGTCCAGAGTGCTAACCATTACACCATTAGACCGTTACACGTTCATATTAGTTAGTGTTAAAATGGAGCTAAAAATATAACAGAATACCTGGAAAAACGCCCCCAAAAAAATTACCGATTAGTGACATGCGAGGGAATATCCTCCTGCGGTATTAAAAATTACTGACCGGCGTGGTCTAACATTATCGATATTCATCTTCAGAAAGAAGAGCATTCTAGCTCAGGAGGTAGCCACTTTAAATTTAAGATTAAATTAATCAAAGAATTTCCTGTTCTGTGGATAAGAGCGCAGGCTCATTTCAAGGAAAGCGTCTAGTACCTGCAGTACCTTACAAATATGAATAATTAACTTGCATTTTTAATCAGTAACTGAGATTTACCGATGTCCGACAAAAGATCGAAAATCTAACAGACTACCGACAAAGTCATGAAATTCTAAACGACAACCTAAGGACCCCCATTCAGACCCTCTGAAAACCCAAGCGGGATTCGGGAGATCACTCGAAAAGTACACCGATAAAAAGTGCAGTCCACTGCTTGTAGAACAAAAACCAACACAGGAGCCCATCATGGGCTCATGACCAACATAATTCTTTACGGGGTTACCGGTGCAATAAACAGAACGTTGTTGACCAATCAGTGCGCTCGTAACGTTTCATAATACATATCTTCTGTACGGAATTAATTCTCTCTTAAAGAAAGATCGAATATTACAGATGTTTGAGAAAGGCCCCATGGTGTAATGGTAAGCACTCTGGACTTTGAATCCAGCCATCCGAGTTCAAATCTCGGTGGATTTTTATTGCATTTTTACTATCATTACCCGAAGGCGTACAGTGAAACAAAGTAACAATATTACTGTTCCCACTTTTCCGTTTTGCACCTTTTTGCCGAACCTGTCGCATGATTCCCGCTTAACAATATGACATAGCATGTGAACAGTCAAGCGACTGTGAACAGTCAGCGTGTGAAGTTGACATGATACCCAATATGTGCAGCAGATGTTGGGTTATCATGATCATCTCGAGTTCAAAGTCTGCCTAGTTTCCAAGCCCCTCGTCCGTGTAGTGTTCTCAAACTTTTGCAGACGTAGAGAGGAGTGTTTTCTTTGGCAGGTTGTTTAAAAATTTTATTCAATAAGGACTTTATACAATCAGGACGGCAACGAGGAAGACGTCGCTTTAAAAATAAACTTATAATTTAGGAAGAATTTCGCAAAATTGCTGGCGCCACTCCTAAACCTTAGTATAACGTATGTCAGCAGCGTTGAGTTGCAAATGAAAACTAAATAATTCTCTGCTGGGGTTCCCGTTCTCAGACCATGCAAATTTTGGTGCTTCCACGTTGTTGTTTAACGGTGGACACATGCTGAGGCAATGTTCTGCTCATAGATCTTATTTTTTGCCATGTCCTCTTGCCGCCGACTTCGTAATTGGAGATGGCGGCTTTTTAATGTGCGCCTCATAATTATTCAAAGACTCTCTGTAAGAATGGAGTATATTGATAAACTTTCTGTCTAGATAAAAAGAAATAGTAATGATAATAAAAAAATTCTAGGATCGGCTGCGTCAATTCTGAAATTGTTGTGAATCGCCGTGGGCGTAAAGGTGCTAACTCTTGGGCGACGATGATAGATAAAGATCCCTCCAAATGTCTTGGCTCTTTTTTAGAATCTGCAAAATTAAACGTTCCTTTTTAAAGGTTCTTTTAGACTGTTTTTGTTGTGGAGGTAAAAAATGTCTGAACTTATAGAAAAAAGTGTTTCCATTTTGTTCCTCATTAAATAACCGCTTTTGCCAGGGGAAAAAAAAAGGAATAATTGATATATCGAATTAGTGTAGACGCCTTATGAAGCACATTGAGATAAAAATAGCAATATTTGCATCACACAAAGTCAATTTCAAGCCTTCTTGTTAATATTTACCTCACGCATCTCAGTAGAAAGCCAGACTTAATGTAGGATAACTACACCAACTGATTTTTTTCAATTGCTTTCCTTGACTTAGCAAATAAGTATTGTGATCCGATTCCTGCTAAAAATGTTGATTAAGAATATATAAAACTTTCAAATTGGTCTGATCTCGGCTTTTTAGAATAATTACTGAATTTGTGTTTAGTGATCCCGAGAAAATTGACTTATTTAACTGCGACAGAGATGAAGCCCTGAAATAATTATCATTTTTTTAATTACGCGTCTAACGAATTTTATGCGGGATAGTAACTATACATAATTTTTCTCCCCGCTGCCCTCCCCACCCCCCGAAAAAAAAGAAAAAGGACAGAAAGACAAGCAAAAAAAGAAATAAAGAAGGACTGTAACCGTCTAATTCACAGAAAAATAAGAAACCTAAGCCAGCATCAGAATGGGTGATCCTTATTTTGTAATATTGCAACCTAATATTTAATGAGGTACATAGCTGTTGGAAGATATAGAAAATTGACATTTTTATTACAGAAGGAAACACGTTCCCACGGCCATAAAAGTGTTTACAGAGGGGTTTTGAGTAAATTCCTTTGCGTGAATTTATAGCGAAAAACCCAGCTTTTTGGTACCGTGGAGATCATAATTTTTTTCCATAATTTTTAAACTTTGGTAGCGAGTACGGAGAACCTTCTACTGCAGTTATAACTCACTAAAACTTCGGTACCATTGATCACACTCTTTTCTATGTCTAACAGTCAGCAATAGAGGCCTTACGGGTCTGTTAGCATAGCCTTACTCGTCCTTATTTAGGATTAAATATAATGATCTGGAATGTTAGTTGATCGAAAAACATTCAAATTATGACATCTGTAGTCAAAAACATCTGTTTCCTTCACATTTAGTCTTAATTCAGAAAGCTGCCTATTATCATATTTCGTTTTTTCCTGTCTGCTATCACAAGAGGATGATTGGAGGTGGGTTGAATATTCGTTTCCTTTATCATCTCCTTTACCATTTTATGTTTGTTATTGTGTTATCAGTCGTCAAATACTCCTTTACTCTTGTGAGAATCGCCAGAGCTGTCTTCTTGTGCAATAATGTCTTGGACATCCATAAAATAGAGTAGTTAGTGAAAAACATAACACTTTTTTCAAATGAACAACATGTGAGCTTTTTCAGGAACCACGTAAGTTTTCCCGGAGGGAAATCACGTTGCTAGCACTTATCAAAAATAAAAACAACGAAAACACTCCAGTACATACAAGTACGAAGGGTAAGTGACTGAATTTTACTTCTTCTTTTAATTTTTTTTAACTTCGATCTTCTTTTATGACAAACTCTCACCTGTTGTTTTCATGAGGATTCATTTACACCTTCAATTTACATTTTGATAAAGTTTTGTGAGGACTGGTTTCCAAGGTAATAAGATATGAAGTTTTTCACGAGACTGCTAATGTGCCATCGGGCTGTCATTTACGTTCAGTGTATTCGCTTGGTCACGAACATCGAGTTTCTGCAACAACACCTTTTACCTGTATAATTTTTGGCTTTTGCACTTGTAAGTACAATGCAGTAGGAAAAGAGGAGATTGTTTTCTCTTGGAAAGTGGAATTGGCTGCCGCCATCCTCGTATCTCGGGCCACATTTAAATGACCTCATAAGCCATTAATTCGAGCTTCAAAAAGACCACATGATGATAAATAATTATGAAAGGACTGAAAAGAGTCCAATTCGGTTTGTAATCATGCGAGTGATTAGCAAAATCGATTTGTTGATCACAAGTTGCATCACGAGTTGTACTAAAGTTGTACAGATATATGATGTTTCATATCTTTCCCGAAGATTTCATGTGTTCGTAGTTTTTATCCTTCATAATTTCAGTTCCTTAGATTGGCGTCACTTCTTGCCCCATCTTATCCCATCTTTCCCGGCCTCCCATCACTTCGATTCG